TTTTTTTTTTTTTTTTTTTTGCTAAATTAATAATTATAAAAAAAAAATACATTTTTAACATTTAATATTGTTTAATTAATTAAAAACTTTCAAAGTATTTTAATTAATTTATTATATTTTTATAATATTTTAAATTATATTGAAAAATAGAAATGATTTATTAATTAATTTTTTAAAATATATAAGAGATTTGGGAAGGATGGAATGAAATAGAAATAGGAGGCGGGACGGGAAATCACTAAATAAGACCTCGCGCCTCTTTGCACTTTTAACTGAATTCGCGGCTTCAATTCGCACACCCTTGCTTTGATTCGCTCGCCTTCGCGGAAGACCTTCAATCCATGGCCAACAATCCTTCGCAGCTACTGCCCTCAGGTTCGCTTTCTGCTTCTTCTTCGATTTTTTTTTGCTCATTTTCCCCTCCTATTTCGATTGAATTGGACTCTAATTTACTTGGTTTATGGTGAGAATTTGCAGAGTTGATCGATCGATGTATAGGGTCGAAAATATGGGTCATTATGAAAGGCGACAAGGAACTCGTCGGTACTCTCAGAGGATTCGATGTTTATGTCAACATGGTTCTTGAAGATGTTACTGAATAGTAAGGGCTTTTATGAGATCTAAACTCACATTTCTTTGGTTTGCTCATTGTATTTCGCATAATTTGTTGTGTTTGAGTCTGTTCTGTTTGTTCTCTTTCTCTTATGAAGTGTTTGATGTGTTGATTTTAGTGTGGGGGAATATGAGGCAAGTAGAGGAAAGTATTTGGCTCAAGGTCGTATTTGTCTGTGTTTAAGGGATTGAAACGTGATTGAAAGTGACAGAATGTTGCGCTAGAGCAATTTGAGTTATTGAGCATGTGATTTTCATTGAATGATGGAGAGCTTTTGAGTTAAGGTTTAGAAATTCCCTTATTCAAACACTGGAGGTTTCTTTAGAAGTTAAAGGAAAGTGATCCATAATCTCATGCCATACTGAAATAGAAGGAAAAGAGTTAACAGGAGAGGGGGATAACCTTAGCCATGTTCATTTCCTGCCAAGATTCCGTTGATGGAAGTGTTTCTTTTCATGGAGGTAAGGTAAAGTAGAGAACCAAAATCTCTCGTAAAGTAGAAGGAAAAAGTTGGCTCAAGTGTCGAGCAGTACTCTGCCTAGGTTGATACACATTGTTTCTTTTTCCACGCCTGATTCTAAGCAAATTGGGGATCAGTAATCGTGTTCCCTATCACTGTACAATTTTACTACCTTCTTCTATGTTGGGGATAGGAAAAATTAGCAAACAGATTTAAGCGGGATACATGATTGTTATTGTTCTATTCTTTCCCTTTTGGAGCTGTAAAGCTAGCAGATTATTGCTAACTTTTCTCTTCCGGGGTCCGGTTGTGGATATATAACCCGATTGGGAAGCTCATAGTTGAGCATCAAGTTCTGAATGTGATGATCAAGATGTTTTAATTAACTCATCATTGGAAAGCTCATGATGTTTTTCTTATTAAATATATGAAAATTGACTTGAATTCTCAATGGTTACTAACAAAAGGAGTAACGATTTGGTAAGAACACAAGGAGTTGTTAAATTGTTAATTTGTCTTTGCTTATGTTCTTAGAGCGACCCCTTCTAGTTTACTGACCATTCAAGCTTTTCATAGAACTTGTTTCAGCTTATTCTGATGTTTCCAGTACTGGGTTAATATGGATATTGAAGTGGTCATAAGTTCGTAATCTTCTTTCGTTCAAAAATGGGTGGCTCCATAAAGCCTACATCTAGATTATAATTAACCAATAAACGATCCATTCAACAAGAGTACTTGTTGTTGGAGCTAATATCACCATTGCTGATTTTCTTTCCTGTTCTACCAATCAAAATCTAGGGTGCGCTCCATTGGGCCTAAAATTTCTATCTTGGCACGTCTTTTATGCTTGTGGCATGTACGAGTTGCTGTCTTTTTTATGAACCTAATGACTCTTTGTTTTAATGAAGACTCATAGCGCTCTCTAGAATCTACTATATGGTTTCACTCTCTCTGTATTACATTGTAGTGAAATCACTGCCGAGGGGAGACGGATAACAAAGCTGGATCAGATTCTACTCAATGGGAACAACATTGCTATTGTAAGTGACAATCACAGTTTTATTATTTTCATGCACTTGTTTGGGGAAGCCACAAGTCTTTAGACGATCTCCTCCTAGACCAATGAACAATGATTGTGTAAGAGGCCAAGCTTCATGATGGTTGTGGGTGTGCCCCAATCCCCATCTTTATAATGATAATAATAGTAATTTAAAGGAACCGTCATTGTTCGTCCCAATGGTTAAATAGTCAAGTCTTAAATTCACGTGCCTCTTATGTCATTCATATTAGTAGTTGTTTCGTAAGATCAGTCAATGTGTGAGCAAGTTGACGTGGACGTTATTTGAAATTAGCCAACATGCACGTGAACTCATATAGACAAAGCAGAGGGAAAAAAACAAATAGAGAACTCAGAGTTGTAGTTGCCCTTTTAAGATTAGTCAATGTGATTGTTAGCAGCTCATCTAGACGAACTAGAAGTTCTTATTAACGTCTGATTGTTGAAGCAAATTGTTTATTTGCAGCTCGTCCCCGGTGGATCACCTGACCCAGAATAAGTGCAGAATATGAATAGCATGTTGTTCTGGTGGGGAAACCTTGCACGATTTTCATGGTTGGCTCCCAGCACCAAACATTTACTTTTCTATGGACGTAGAAAGACTCAGGTGACATCTTTCATGTATTTGATTGAAGTAAAGCGTCATAGTTTCGTGTTTCGTCGATGTGAATCTAGCTTTCTTCATATTCACTGCTTCGGCTGGAAATCTTTTGGCTTAATTCTGAATTTGACTGCTTTCAATGGGTTCACAAATTTTTTTAAAAGCTAGAGCTGTAATACCCTGAAGTAAAACACTTCTCCTGATTTTAAAACAATGAAGGAGATCGAATCAAATCGATAATCGAGCCAAGTCATACAAAGGAAGTTTGGTTTTATTATCACTTATAATTAGATTACAAGTTTGATTAAGTGTTGTTAAGAGTGTGTTTGGTATATCTTCTAATTTAAGTATTTTTTCTTAAAATATTTTTAATAAAAGGCATTTTTCTACCTATTTGGAAGGTATTTTTATGCGTACTTGGAAGGTTTTTGATTAATCGCTTTAAAATCATTTATCAAATATCTTTTCAAACAATTTTTCAATTAATCCAATGTTTGCAAAGCGTTATTTATTTTTATCATATAAATCAGTTGAGAAACAACAATAAAGTATTTTTAAAAAATAATCATATAATAAGTGTTTTTTATTATAAAAGAAACAGCTATTTCAAACATATTATGAGAAGGTTGGTGTTGTACTTGTGATAAGATAAGGAAATCACTACAAGGGGAGTAAGATTTGGATTATCGATCGAATATCTCAAGGCAAGAAGAACATTTGATTGAGATTCAAATTACTCCACAAGGAAGATCGATCATGTCTAGCTTGAATGATTTTTGTTGATCAAATATCTCAGACATTTGTTTGAGATTTGAGTCACTCTACAAGCAAGATTGATCATGTCGAGCTTGAATGATTCTACATACAACCTAAACTACATGGAATTGCAAAGAAACTTAGCCAAATTCTACATACAACCTTGCAAAGAAACTTAGCCAAATTTTACATACAACCTTGCAAAGAAACTTAGCGTTAGAATTGCAAAGAATGGCTAAAGAAGAGTTAGAATTGCAAAGAAACTTAGGCTAAAGAAGAGTCTATATTTTCCAAGTCTCCCTACAAATACAACAAAAGTCTATATTTTCTAAGTCATATAAGTCTTCCTACAAATACAACATACATGCTTCATTCCAAGAAATGTAATATTCATACTTAAAAGGCATGGCTTCATTCCAAGAATTGTAATATTCATACTTAAAGACATTCTAAGTCATTCCAAGAATTGTAATATTCATATTTAGTAGTCATAATTAACCATTATTTAATTGCTTAGTAGTCATAATGCTTAGTAGTCATAATTAACCATTATTTAATTGCGTAGTAGTCATAATTAACCATTATTTAATTGTAACCTAAAGTAACTAAAAATTCTTAAATTACTCTAAATGAAATACAACAACTCTAAATTACTCTAAATGGTAATCCCCAAAATTTATAAAATGAAACTTTATTCTTATTCAATGTGGCATGAATTGAA